ATAGATAGATAGATGTTGATGGACCTTTATTTTATTCATCTATTTTTATGCAGTGCTGAGAATGGAACCCAGCTTATTACAATGAACTTTTCTCTACACTGAAACTGCATTACAGTGTTTCTTTTCTGTGTTGCAACTTTTTAAAAAATGATGTTTCTAAACTGTGCTCCCATCAAAGACAAACTGCCCACAGTTCAGACTCTTTTCTAAAAACAAGCAATGTATAAATGTTTCTTTTTCTTTTTCTTACTATTTTGGAAATGTGGGTAATGGTCTGTCTTATGGAATTGTTTTAAGGATGGAAAAAAAAGAAAGCCCTTTGGAAATGACATAAATGACAATAGTTATAAGCACAGTGGTTAAGGCCATGGGTTGGAAGCAGAGCACCATGTTCCTATGCAGCCTCAAGCTCAGGCTAGTTGTGGTTTGCAGGGAGGCTATGCCTGTTTTCATCTGTAAATTGGAATCACCAACTACACCTAGTTCATATGGTTGTAAGGAAGTTAAATGAAAGAAAAAGCATGTGGAACACTTTCAGTTATCCTGACCAGTGTAGAAAATGCTCTGAGGTGGTCATTATTACTAGTTTTCACCTTTATGTACCAACTTGGGTTACAGAAGCCTTCACATAAACAACCCATTTGATCTTCCTAATAACCATGTGATTTGCCCATTATTATTTCCATTTTACAGACACAGTCCATTTGGATGTGTCTTTGCTGACAGTTCTTACAGATAAATTTAAGGCTCATTCACCGAAGTAATCTAATTCCAGTTACAGAACTAAGTCAAGAGTCAAGGTTCACTTCCTGGATCCTAATCTCAGGTCTTCCTAGTCCACCAGGTGGCCTTCAGAGTGGATAAATCATTGCATTATTATCACCAAGAATCCTCCCACCAGCTACTTGAGTTAGGTCTGTTGATGGGGCTGGGGATGTGGCTCAGTGGTGGAGCGCTTGCCTAGTGTGCCTGAGGCCCCGGTTCCATCCCCAGCACAACCAAACCTAATGACACTAAGAGGTAGGAGGTAGGTCTCTTGATTGGTCATCACCCTTCCAAAACCTCAAGGGGTCAAGTGTTTTGACTTCTCCCTTCCCTCTTGAACGCTTTCCCTTCTAGCCGATATGTTTTCTCACGAGGATAATGGCCCTGAGCCAGACTGGGTTTTGTCTGAACGGGAGCAGTTCAGTGACTTCCGAGACCTGAACAAGGATGGGAAGCTGGACAAAGACGAGATTCGCCACTGGATCCTCCCTCAAGATTATGACCATGCCCAGGCCGAGGCCAGGCACCTGGTATACGAGTCGGATAAGAACAAGGTAATTCAAATGTTTGTGATCATTGATTGAAAGGTGACAGTTTACATAAGATTGCTTTGTTTGCCTCTGGTGATAGCACTGGCCCCTGTGGCCCTGTCATGCTGACTTCCTGTTCTTGCCCTGCAGTAGAGACCTGTAAACTTGAACCAGACCATGGTAGCCCACGGTGAACTCACTGGGCCCAGACTCCTCTGGACAGCCAGCTGTGAGCCACAAACTCTCATTGAGTCATACCTTTCAGGATTGAAGAACCAGCAACTCGGATGTGGGCAGGGCAGGGAATTAAAGCAAAACATGCCTGCCCTAAGACAAGCTTATTCATCCATTTGTTCAGTTACCAAATGTTCATCAGGCTTCTGGGATATGCCCGGCACAGGGAAGCTTATCCCCCACCTCAGCCCAGATATCCTTGGGCAGGCTCCCACTTCTGGTTCTAATGCCAGTACTTTATGATCTACTGATATCAAAATAAATAAATACAATTAATAAAAAGTCCTGCTCCATCCAACTTTGCTAGTTGCCCCAAATTCCCAGGTTATTCAAATAGTCAGGTCGAGCAGCTAGGCTATAAAAGGGAAGTGGAATTCTTCAGGGCCTGTTTGAACGTGCTTGCACTGCTTGTAGACATAAATGGATTCCAGCTTCTGAATTACTTAGGGACCTACCTGATGTACTTTTGCACAGCTTTTATAGCAAGAGGATGTTACAGTTTGGAATTTTGAAGTGCAGTAATGGTAGATGAAAGAGGAACCCGGAAGCTTCTGAATTATTTAATGTAGCATTTAAGACATTGCAAATCAATGAACTAGCATGGTTTTCATGATGAACTGTAGACTCACAGTTACCACAGCTTCCTTGACAGCTCTTCCCTCTCTCCTACAGGATGAGAAGCTAACTAAAGAGGAAATACTAGACAACTGGAACATGTTTGTTGGAAGCCAAGCTACCAATTATGGGGAAGATCTCACTAAAAATCATGATGAACTTTGAATAGACACTCACTATAATGTGGCAGATTGTCATACGCTTTCATTTATTGTCTTGGGTGGTTGCTACAATTGTCTAATTTACAGTAGTTGTGTCCCCCCAAAAGCAAGTTTATACCTCAGATTGGGGTACAAATGATTTTTTCACTCAAGATCTACTGGAAAATGGTCATCACTATTTTTTCAGTAAGATTTCTCTCAAAGCACATTACAATCTTGGCAAATTGCAATTCTGCATGGGGACACATTGCTACAACATGACTTTTTAAGTTTTTTTCCACTAAATTTAAATGAAAGTGGAATAAAACTTGAAAAAAAAAAAACCCTATTATTCTTAAGGTTGGGTGGGAGGGGCAGTATATGGAGTGACTGCTACATATTTCAACTATCAGGGTTTTTTGTTGTTGTTTATTTTTTTATTACTTGCCACTGCTAAAAAGTTGGAGAAGTAAAGATTCTGATGAAGCTAGATAGTGGCATTGTCCCAGGTAGCCTTATTTCCGAGCAAGTCTAACATTTCAGATTCTTTCTTCCTTTTTACTCTGAGCTGTTACTGTAAGTGGTATATAAAACCTCTGTGCGTTTTTATGAACAGACCTGCTAATGTGCACAATAAATCCACATTTTCTTTTTGTTTTTATGTAAACTGAGAAGCAATCAAGAAAGATAATGTGAACAAGAAAGGAGTTTTAGAGGTAGGGAAAAGACGAATGTCAAGCATTTGAAGAACTATAGGAAAATGATAAACACTTTAAATATACTTGAGAAAATTTTCTTGACAAGTAAATGAGGTAGGTCTGATCTTTGAAATAGTGAATAGAAATACAGTCCGTTTCTTCAGTGATCCTCAATTGGAATGAGACCGTGGGATCACAAGAAAGCAAAATGTAGTGGAGTTCATTAGTGAACGTGAATCCCTCACCTCGGATCTGCCTCCAGGATTGTTGACACTGTGGGATTGGGATTGTGATGTTCCGAGCCATTGACTGAACTGGCAGAAATGATGACTACAAGCTGAAATTCCACCTTGTGAGTAGGAAGTGAAATAAAGGATCCCGAGAGGATTTTCTACTGTGTCCTGTGTGTTTGACTTCACATAGACTGTTCGTGGCATCGTTATTCATACATAATTAAACAGTGCAATGGGAGTCCATGGATAAGATTATAAAGCTTCTGGGTTTTTTAAACCCAGTTACTAGAATGTCCAGAATATATCCATATTCGCTAATTTAATAAATCTATACTTAACAACATCCTTTCTCTATGTAGTTAGGCCATCTGCAGGTCATTTAAAGATATTTCTGAGACAGGTTTCAGTTGGAATATCCAGACTTCTTACCAGGCCTAAGAGGCCCTGGAGGATGGGGTCCCCACCTCCCTCCTCTGCATTATCTCCTTACCCTCTTCCTTTTATATCCCATCCCATATTCGTATTGCAGCCCCACTGAATTTCTGGTTATCGAACACACCAGTGGCATTCCCAGGACAGGACCTTTACACATGCTGCCTCCTTAGATTCAGATCAACCATCTCTCATCCTCAGAAAATGAGTGTAATGAGGCCTCCTCAGTGAGGCCTCCTCAGTGTCCCCACTACTTATAGTAGTCCTCACTCGAGTCCCTAGCTCATTCCCTGTTTTGTTAGGCATTAACATTTGTATTTTGTTTCCCAGGGCCATTGCCCAAATTTCAGCCACATGGGTGGTTTGCAATGACAAACTTAACTCTCACGGTTCTGGAGGCCAGAGTCTGAAATCAAAGTGTCAGCAGGGCTGTGTTCCTTCCAAGGTCCCTGAAGGAGAATACTTACATGCTTCCCGGTTTCTGGTGACACTAGGAGTGCCTTAGCTTGTGGCTCACTCCTATCTCTGCCTCCAACTTCAGTATGGACTCTGCCTCTTTTCCCTGGGTCTCCCCTTGACATGTCTCTTATAAATACACTTTAGTCAGATTTAGAGCTCTTCACAATCCAGGATGATCTCTTCTTGAGATTCTTAATGACAGCTGCAAAGACACTTCTTCCAAATAAAGTCACATTCACAGGTTCTGGGGGTTGGGGGGTAGATATCTTTTGAAGGGCTACCATTCCATCTTCAGTTTCGTTTGGCCTTGTTTGTACATCGCCCCTCTCTCCTAAGCAGGAATGTAAACTCCATGAGAATAGCACTCTGATCTGTCTCCTTTACTGCTGTTGACAGGGACCTAGAAGGGTAGAGTCTGGCATACAATAAATGCTCAGTAATCATTTGCTTAACAAACTAGAGGCTGGTAGTTTTAATCAAAAGGAATATTCACCAGCAAAAAAAAAAAAAAAATCTGCAAAAATATAAAAATAGCTAATACTTAATGGATGATGAGTTATGCAATTTGTCCAAGATTCTATATTCATTTAATAATGGCAGGGCCAGCTCACAAATCCAGATGTTTCTAGCTCCCCAAATCTCTGAAATTTAGCATTAAGTGGTACTGCTGCAAATCTCTTGATTCTCATGTTTTCTCTTTATTTCTTTGCTTACCCACAGCATATGGTTATGTGGTCAGGAAATGAAAATAACTCTGCTTAGCTAGAAACAAGCTGATTTTTTTTTTCTAGCAATGAAAACCTGTTTTTAGGAAAATGAGAAACTTGCTAACCTTATGTAACCTAAGCATAAGCATAACATTTTTATAAGGTGCTAATATTATTTTTCCTGAAAAAGGGAATACTGGTTGATTTATTAAGTTGTACATAGTAGGACGCTAGATATATTTGGAACATTAGGTTTTTCTTTTCAAGTCAGTGCACATAAGAAGAGTAATCTTCAAAGAGACTTCAGCTTCTGGGGCTGAATTTAACACTATTTAAAGAAAGAAAACCTTAGCCAGGGGATATAACTGTTAACATGGTGATTTGTAAAACATTAGATTTCTAATAAGGTCTGACTGTTTCAAGGAAAACATATTTTGTTTCTAGGTAACATTTCAACTCTGATTATGAACAAATGCTACAAAATTGATCTGTAATGGGAAATACTGTAATGTCACAAGGCATTATTTAATGCTTAATGTGACTGAAAGCATTAATTGCTAGGAGCCATATTCTGTCTAAGCAAAACATGAACACACATTTTGTACCTCTCATCTCGTCCTATAGGTTTCTGAAGGAATTCGAGTGTAACAAAAACATAGTTAGAAAATCTGCGGTACCTGAAGATTTTCTTCACCTGCTTGATTATTGCACTTGTCCCCTTGTTAGCAAACGCACAAGTCACATCTGCTCAGAAGTACCCGGCAAACAGCGGGAACAACATGGCTGCTTATTAGCAGCTCAGCTAAAATAGCTTGTGAAGAGTAAAGTAGTAATGACTGACAATTTTTCTTTTAAGTCTCTCTAGATTTATTTTTGCCACTTTATAATAAAATCCTGGCTTTCTCCAAGAACATGCATATGAGATCTGGCTCTCTCTCTGTAGTTTTAAAACAAATTTATAGTGCTAGAATTTCCCAGTAAAATCCAATGAGTGCCATAATATTCACTGCTTTGACTCACAGTGAAGTATTAAAAATTTGAGCACTAGAAAGATGATGTCATCAGTTCTTAAACTTATGAGATTTACCCAAACGTGGGATTATTTTTAAAGAAAGCATCTTCATTCTCAATTCTGGTGAGTCCTAGGGGGGACACACACCCCAGGTGTAAAGCATCCCTCCCCTATCCCAGGCCGTTTTCTTACCTCTGTCATTTTTCTCACATAAAATAGAAAACAGTGTCTGATTTCCCATAGAATTGCATCAAAGATAATGAATGTAACAATAGGGCATTTTCCAACCTTGAAGATGTCTGTGTAAGCGGGTGCATAATGCATTTCTTCTAGGATAAATTCTAGTAGCTGTATACCAGGCACAATGCCAGTACTTACAGACATTTCTCATGCAACTCTTTCAACTGCCCTATGAGGTTGGTACTTGAAAGAAAGAGAATGAATGGGTTATGCTAGGTAACAAATAGCCCTACCATCCCAGGGCTTTGAAGCAACAGAAGCTTAATTGTTTTTGCAAAGCTGGCTGGGGGTTGGGCCGTTGTTCATGGCAGCAGTAGTGCACATCTACCAGAAATAGCAGATCACTCACCTAGCACATGCGAGGCCCTGGGTTTGATCCTCAGCACATAAAAATAAATAAAATGAAGTTATTATGTCCAACTACAATTAAAATAAATATTAGAGAGAAAAAAAAAAAAAAAGAAAGCCAAACACAGGTAATTGAATGCTGCCTCCTGAAAGGATCCATGTCATTCTTGCCCACTGACATTGTTCAAAGCAAGTCACATGTCCATATATAATTTGAAGAGAGCAGGGAAGTGCAATCCTTCTGTTGAAAACATTGGGGGACAGTGCCTGTGGTCACTACAGCATTATTTTCCCTATGTCACAAATCAGGGAATGTAGAGGAAAGTAATATTCAAAGTCACACAACTCATAAACAAGGTGACTATGTCATTGATTGTTCAGACCAAGACACCATTGACAATGAAAGGGGCCAGTTTTAATCAATATCTCTCCAAATCCTGGCCCACCTTCCCTGCCCATTTTGGAATTTTAGAAAGACCCACTCCATTCTTCTGGCTGTGCCTCTCCCCGTGATTGAGAACGTCCTGGGTCAAAGGGTTTTGCTGACTCAGAGCCAGGGCCACCTTTTCTAGATATGCCTCCAAGTCCTCATAAGACCCCAGAAGTGCATGCCCAAAGGACCCCAAACATCTTCAAGCCTTGGTTGGCCTCTTCCCCAGGTATTCTTCCAAAAGGCAGGCAAAGTAGTAGGCACATGCATAGCTAGTTAGACTAGCCAAATGTCAGCTGTTGGAGAGTGGACTCAATTTGATCATGCAAGTTGGGGTATCCATATACACTGCAATGGTTTGAATATGTTCCCCCAAAATTCATATGCTAAAATCAAAGTCCCGATATAATGGTATTAAAAGGTGGGACCCTGTAGAGGGGATTAAGTCATGAGGATTAGTGCCCTTATAAAGGGCTAGAAAGAGCTAGTGAGGTCCTCCTTTTGCCCCTCTACTCTTCCATCATGTGAGGATACAGCCACAAGACAACATCTTGGAAGCAGAGAGGAATACTTGCCAGACACCAAAGCTGCTGATGCCTTGATCTTGGATGTTCCAGCCTCCCAAACTGTAAGAACTTCCTTCTTATAAATTACCCAGTCTAAGGCATTTTGTTACAGCAGCAGGAATGGACTAAAGTATACACCTACATGAAGCCCACTGAGAGAGAGAAAAAGGGTGGAGTGACCCATGGACTATTTGCCAGTTTTACTCCTGCTCTGGAACCCACAAGTATTAGCCCATGATGCTGGGATAATCAGAACTATTCCAGGAGAACTTAGACATGTGGTTTCCCTGCAGAGAAAGCAGATCCAGGATACAAATCCAGGTCTCACTCATGGTGGACCTGTTGTCTTCATTATTCCACTAAATTGCCTCTGATTAAGAACCTCTTGGTCAAACTACCACTACTATCCCCATAATTTTCAAAGACTGGTGGTATAGAATAGTGTAACATAAAAATTCAGGTTTACTGTGATGAGTTGCATAGCTGGCAACACAGAAAGATGGATTCAAAGACCCAGCTGGATTAGAGTTCTAGCTCTGCCGGGCAGAAGTTTCACAGTTTGGGTGGACAGATCACTTCCTCCTGAGGAGCCTGTCCTAATTCCACAGTGGGCATAATAATAATAATGATTACAAAACTCAACACTCAGAGTAGTTATGTAACTAAGGTGAGATAATGCATGTGGCCTTGAAGTTGGAGGTGATGCATGAGTACTAGAATTTCTCCTCACTGACCTGCTTGAGAAGGTCAAGTGTCAGAGGTCATGTAGATAATGCCTGCAAACATCAGGCTGCTGGTTAATAGTCTTCCAAGCTTTAGAATCACTGTGTGAAGTGTTTCTAAAATCTAAAAATTGATCTAGTTGAAATTTGATTGGTCTTAATGGCAAAGGGATAGCACTTGGATTTGTTTATATCAGTGAGGATATTCCAAAGCTATTTATATATGGTAGGGATTTGGAACTCAGTTCCA